ATCCTGAAGCAATCTTCATGGTCTTCAGAATTTTTAAATTTATGTTGAGATTAGTGTTGTATATGACATTTTTAATTTTACTAATCCTACCACATATTCAATAGCTTTAAAGATTTTTATGAGGCGTATTGCATCGGAATATCTGACATAGTTTTTTTCGTAAATTGATCGATTATGCAATTTGAGGGCTTAATGCCACATGTCAAAATGATTAAAAAATATTAATGTTTATATCACTTTACAATAGATATGAAACGCAAATTTTTATTTTTTATTTTTTTGATATCATAGCTACTCCATAAATATAATGTTTTAAAAAAAATTCTATAAAGATATGATATACAAATAAAAGATAGGATAAGATTTATGTGTATTAAATTTGCTTTAAGATCAGTGTAATATTAAAATTAATTAATTCGTCATATATTTTATTCATATATAAATAAAAATAATGATTAAAATAATATTATAATTAAATTTGAACTATAATATTCTCACCTAAGCTTTCTCCTATTCTGTTGGTTTTAAACAATGCCATTTTGCTTATAACATGGGCCTATTTAAGGCCCAGCCCATTAGCCATGGGAGATATAGCATGAGTTATGATGTAGGAGTAGTGGTAAGGAGATTACAAAAAGTTTTGATGTAACACAAATCTTATAGCATATAGCACATATCTCAAAGCAAGTCAAAAGCAACCAATTAATGCTCGATGGTTCTCAATTTTGTCAAATAAGGGAACACAAATGACTTAATAATAATAAATATATTTCACATCGTACTATCTTATTTAATTCCTTTGTATTCAATCTCATATTTACAAAGACAACAAAAAAGAAATTAAATATAGACCACCATTTAATAATTTTTTTTTACAGTTATTAAAAATAAATAGTAACAATTACACATTTTCATATTAAAATAAGGTCAAATGATTGATATATATTACCATAAAACTAACTCCACTAATTCAGACGGTCGACAATGGTCTGAAAATGATGTTCATATACTCCTTCCTAACCACCAATAGCACTTTCAATCGTTAAATATAAACTCCAACAATATTTTTTTCTCGCCAAATAATTCTTAGCCTATTGATTATAACTATTTTGTCATAGAGTTTAATATGCAATTGTCATTTTGTCAACATCTCATACAAACTAAATAATACCATCATTTGTTTTTCTCACTATAAGTTTTCTTTTGATCTTATGCTACTAAGGCTTCGTTTGGAACAACTTTCTTACTGCTTTTTGAATCAGCTTTCTAGTACAAAAATTTTCAATTCAGAATTTTTATACTCAAAATTAAATATGCTTTATAAAGCAGTAAGAAAGTTATCGCAAATGAAGCCTAAGGCTTCGTTTGTGACAGCTTTAATACTACTTCATAAAACTGCTTTCTAGTATAAAAATTTTAAATTTAAGAAATTTTTGTACAAAAAAACTGTTTTAAGAAGCAGTAAGAAAGTCATCGCAAATGAAGCCTGAGTACCGCCAAAAATTGCTTTGTTAAGTGATGGTAGGATTTGTTTTTAGTTCATAAGCATCAATGGATTGATGGATATATAAAACTATTACTAGCTTTAAAAATATTCTTTATTTTGCCAGTAGACTTCTTTGGCATGCAACACTGTGTATATGGAGAAAATAAATAACGTAATTTTTCAACTTTGAACGTAGTCTTTGTTTGAACTTTGGATGCTATGAATTGTTAGTTTTAAAATACCTAAGATTTAAAATTAGTGAAAGCGAAAGAGAGAGATTACTCCCACTGAGAGGGTCAAAGTTCAACGCATTGTCTTTTTATTTATTTATATAATGTAGCAAGGAACATAATATATATTTTATTTCTTTATTTTTTAAAATTGAGAAAATTGAGGGATATTGGCTCAATATCATTGACTATAAAAATAATTTAAAGATTTGAAGCTATAGTTAGAGCAAGCCATGGAGGAAAAAAATATTATGTGCGGAGCCTGGACGGGAAGAATCATTTAAGCTGTGAGTGTACATACAGTATGTACAAAAATCTGATATACATAGTGTACAAATTTGTACACGATGTTTATACTTATATGACTGGACTGTTTTTTCCGTTCGGACTCCGCACATAATGATTTCTCTTAAACATGACATAAAAAAAAAACTCTTACAATTGAGGAATAGTGAAGCAAAGGCCATCAAGAAAATTTCACAAAACAGAGCTACATAAAAAATAGACCCAGACTAATGAGTTAGACACATAGTAAAAATTTTGTTTGCCAATTAACTTTTAAGGTTTCGTTTGAGACAATTTTTTACTATTTTTGAAGCAATTTTTTAGTTCAGAAATTTCTTGAACTAGAAAATTTTATACTAAAAGCTGCACTAGAAAGCAATTAAAAAGCTGCCACAAATGAAATTAAGTTAGAAAATTTTACAACATAAAGGTCCTTAACAAAGCAAAATAAGTTTGAAATCGTTCAGCATAATATCATAATGTAAGGTTTATATGAAAGAGCCCAATAAGAGAGATCTCAATGCTATGTAGCTCTAGAAAAAAAAAGAATAAAGCCTAAAATAATAGAAAAATCTACCAGATAAGAGCTCTTAGTCGGTAGCCAAAGTCCCCAGCCAACACATCATGGTGAGCTACGTAGATTTTATTTTATTAAACATCAGTATAGGAGTCTTACACGTGTATTATATTAAGCACCTATTTTTTTCTTTTTTTTTCTTGGATTAAGGTTGGGTTTATGAAAAAGTGCTATGATGGAGGATGTAATTAGCCTTGAAATTAGGGCAATATATTAATTGTTTAGAAGAAAATAAAAGTAAAAAAATAGGGTGAGGATATCTTGATTAAAATTTAATTAAGATTGATTTTTTAAATTTAAATTTATTTTCATATGAGCAAATATATTAATAATTATACTTAATTTTTTATAAAAGAGTTGTTGCTAGGATAAATTAAAATTGTTTGATTTATTTTAAAAAGAGTAAAATAAATGAGAGATCTATAAAATTTATATACATTTATTTTAAATAAGTTAAAAGCTTTGAGATTCATTATGATTAGCCTATTATGAGCCAATTATTTTCATTTCAAAGAAACCAATAAAATTCCGAGCTATAAATATTTTTTTTAAATATTTAAATCAAATCTTATAATATTAGTCAAAATGTTCTTATTAGATGCATCTATAAGCATCATTTAGTTATAATTTTTTAAATTATAAATATTGTTTCTTTATAGAAATGATTTACTAAATATAAGTATATGACTATATGGTATAATATGGCTAAAGTTTTTACCCATTTAAAAAGTAGTCCACTTTTTAAATAATCTAAATAAATTAGGAATAATTTAGATTAATATATAACTTATAATTATTTAATTAAATTATAATTAAGATGACAAATTTAAGTGCTTTTATTTAAAGAAAAAAATATAAATTGATAAAATCAAAGTTTAAATATTTAAATCATAAATTGTCTTAAAAAATTTATTGTCTCTATGTCAATAATAAAAGTAATTAAAATAATTCAAAATACAAAATAAATTAAATTAAATTTTTGTTTCTTTTAATATTTTTGGATCTTTTTTAATTATGGTAGCATCTTTGAATAGTTATAAAATTTTATTTTTTTGATAAAATAAAGACAATATAAAGTAAATATGGTGTATTTAAAATTCAATAAATTTTTTATTCAAATTAAGTCCGAATAAAAAATGAGAAATAAAATTTAAAGAAAAAAAACTAACCTTAAAATTGCGAAGGGGATCGCAATTTGAACTCGCTAGGGTTAGGTGTTGATGGGAAATGTAATCATGGGCGGATCCCCATAGTAGTGAGGGTGGGCAAACCCAGCCTTAAATTTTTTTTTTAAAATTTTAGAGGGTATATTTTGGAACATTTTTAGTATTTTAGGTATTTTGCCGTCTGTTAAAAAATTTTTTTGCTCTAATTTTATCAATCCTAATCGTCTTTATCCACCCCCTACCAAAAAATTTTTTTTGCCCATCCTAAAAAAAGAAGCTGGATCCGCCCCTGTATGTAATATGTGAAGTAGAAGATATTGTGATGGGAGCTCACTGGGGCAATTGTCGATGAGATATGCGTTACGAGAAAGAGTAGATATTATGATTGAAGCTCACTAGGAAGGAATCGATGAGATCCATGACATGCAAGGTAGAAGATATATATATATATATATATATATATATCTGCCATGTTTTACTGATTTCTCAGATGATTTTATACTTTCTTACAGACGTTGAAATGATAATAATAAACAAATAATAATGCAAGAAGATAAAACATCTATAATTTTTTTGCGGTCTTCGACAATGGAAAATATTTGTGCTACTATTAATGAGCATCCTTGCTAAGCAATGGAATCTTTGATGTACAAATTAGATACTAGTAAATAAAGGAGAATAGATTTAGAGAAGAATCAAAGTTTTATGATGGGTGCCATATTAATTGTAATGTTTGGAAAGTTTCAATGCAAATGGATAAATTGAGCCTAAAATTATGAAATGGAAAACATGTCATTTTTATTACAAGTTTATACTCTAAATCTTGATAACTATGATTGTGTTGTTAGATTTTAAATTATGACACATTATTCTAACTGTTGCGGATTGAGAGATTCGCGGCAGCAGAGTTAAAATGTTTTACATCTTAGCAATACATGAAATTTCAACACACAAATAGATAATTGAAATGATAAAGGAACACCAAAATTTCTACACGAAAAACCAAAAAAGAGAAAAATCACAATATATATTAATATATAATTTTTTTATCTTTAAATATTAAATATATAATTTTATTAAAAAATGTTATTTATGTAATTTGATTTTTTTTAGAGTATTTATTTCGTGTTTCCATGAAATATTTTTTTTTTGGGGACATTTAGGTCATTTAAGGCAAACTCATACACTACACAGAGAGACTCGTATCTTACCTCTTAGTTGGAAGCCTTAGCTCTCAACCAATAGGCCAAGAAGAGTGGTGTATTTCCATGAAATATTTATCCCAATCATTCAGCTCTTCCGTTCCGACGACACGCTGCGAGAATTGCCCTGACTACCGATTCAATGAAGACGACGGCAAGTCGGCAACCAAGAATTAGGTGCATCGCCTTTTTGATCTCAGGCCGCTATAGATCAGGTAGTGTCATAACCCTAAACTCCAGGTCTCACTGCTCATTCCCTCCATCGCCATAACCTCTTATTCTCTTCCTCTTTTGGATTCCGTAGGGCTGCCGTCGACCGCCATGGTTCCAACGAAACGTACTTCCGACATGACCGTCGGCCACATGCTAATCCGTTTATTTCTTACACCTCTCCTTTTCTCCGCGGTGTTTGGAGATCAGATTCCCGTGACAGATCGTAAGTCTATTCTGTAATTGAAAATTTTCTTCCTCACATTGTGGCGACTCTGAAAGTTGCGCCATGGGATTCGGATTCGGCTTTAGTGCACATTTATCTTATTGCAACGTTTGTATAGAAATTGGAGAAATCAATGTGGTAATTGGGCGCTTTAAGTTCTTATCTAGTTCTGATCCCGAAGTGTTATTCTCAGTCGAGGGTGCTGTTGAGAGTCCGGTTTTCTTCATGAAAATGCTGATCAGATTAGGAATGCTGAACTGGCCCAAAGTCTTGTCTTTTTTGTTTTTCATTTACTACTTGATGAATATTGAATACTTGATGACTACCTTGTTAATGGGAAAGACTTGAATCATATCTAATACCGTTTGCTCTTACTGAAGTTGATCTTTCTTAATAGATCGTTTATATTTGTGCAGTCTGTTTCTGAAAATTGTAAAGTTTGCAAACATAAAATTCTGAATTTGACTATGGAGCTTTTTGGATCTTGCTAAAGTTTAGAAGCTTCATTATTAGCAAAATATGCTAATTCCATGGAAGATTAATGATACAAAATCATGAAGCTAGGCTATTACTCTCCATAAACTTTCTCACTAAAATAGTCTCTGCTACGCTGGTTTCCATAAATAATGTTTATCTTTTAGAATGCTATGTATGATCTTTCCCATGCGCATAGCAGTTAATGTTTTCTTCTACTCCCCATTATTGTGTGATGCACCATTGCATCTGTCTTTTTCTAGCATACATGCTTGTTGAGTATCCTTTTAGGCAACAGTATGAGATATTGAGTATATTGGTGTATGTTGTTCTATATTTTTCTTGGCATAATTGTGCGCTTATGAAAAAGAATCTCCCTGCAAGTTGCGGCAAACACTGAATGTTGATTCCTGTTGTCAAGCCATTCCACTGAATACACCAACGGTATTCTGATGAATTGATATTGTTTTGGCATCCTTCCAAAGTACTGACAATAGTATTTATTATGTTAATCAGCATCTATATTCCTCACACAATTCATGAGCTTATTTTATGGTTTAAAAAAAATTTAAGCAAGTGCCAATCTTTTGTTTATGTGTTAGATCTTAATTTTGGCATATTGTTTTAGACCAGAAATCAAGTTTGCTTATTCTTAAATATAACGCGGCTTAGTGGGAAATATTAGGAGTATGCTTTCACCTGTTCTATTTAGCTAAATTTTGCACATTACTTCCTTGAAATGCTTCCATTCAACTTTTGTATATGCTTGCAAACTTTACTTGCTTCATATCACTCTACATCGTGTGCCTTCTTTTTATACGTATAATTTTTTCATGCAGAGAGGAGCAACATTGCAAGTGTTTCTAACAAAGTGGTACTTTCCTTACCCTAAAAGTTCTTCAGTTTTTCTTTCCCCCTTTTTTTTTGAAATTTGTAAATCTATTAGTTTTTTACTCCATCTCTACTCACTTGCTGTAGCTATGGACTATTGTACTGACAAATTCTAAAACAACATTTTGAGAAAGTTTTAGGAGTTATGACATTGAAATTTCCAGTCATTCATCCTTGCAACTGCATGTTTATGAAATTGATTCCAATAGGATTTACTTATGAATTTGATTGCAATAGGAGATTTGGCAAACCTACTTGTTTAGCTTGTTTTTGTGTTACTTGTTGGCAGCTAGTTGATATCTTCTCCAGAAGTGGGCTTGACTTAGGAGGCTGATTTCTTGTATTTTTTTGTTGGAAGTCTCGTCTTTCTTAAACGAGATATTTCTTATCTAAGATAGTGAATTCCTGGATGAATTTAAACTAGCTTTATGTTCTTATTCTCCTTTCCCCACTTTTCCTAATTGATTCAATATAAAATTGATTAAATTAATCAAAGATGTGGAAAAATGAATCTCCATAAGTTCCACCACCATCAATTTTGCCACCATTAATTTCACTTCCAACAATTTTGCCTCCATTAATTCCACCTCCATCAATATTCCAGTGAACTCAATAGTCTTCTACCTTAATTATACAGTTCATTCCACATCAATGATATGTGCGAGTAGTACTGCTATCCCATTAATTCATGAACTATAATAATTATTATTCAACCTTCTCATCAATTCATGAATTATTGTAACTATTCTTCCTTGATTTTATATGCTTTCTAATGAAAGCTCACATAAGATTATATAAATACCATGCGTATAACCATTTCTTATAATTATTTCAGAGCTTTAAGCTTTTTTTTTCCTAGCATTTCTATAAGCCACAACCTTCATCGCACATTCCCTAGGATCTACAAGCTTTCATCACCTCAAGTCTCTTTTCATTCTACCTAATATTTTCAGTTGCATTGATCATCATAGTCACTTTATCCATATCCTTATATCTCCTTGTAACTAATTACTATTGTATTTTTCTTTCTCATGAATTACAAAATATTCATGTTCCCTTAATCTCTTGGAATCGAGATTGAGAGCTCAAATTTAATGATAGAATTACAAAACATCCATTCAACATATCGTTTAAATGAAAATAATTACCTTAGTGGTCACAATTGGTTCATACCTTCTTGAAGGGAAGAGGAAAATTGGGCCATTTACTTGACATGAGACCTCAACAAGGTAATCCAACATTCAGTACTTGGGATGAACATGATTCTATGGCAATGCGCTAGTTATGGAACCCTATAGTTCTAAAATAAGTGACATCTGCATGTGATTTCATTCAACAAAGAAAATTTGGGATATGGAAAATCAAACGTATTCTAAAGTCTTCCATATGTGCCAAATCTATGAGATTAAAATCAAGAACTTTTTTTTTTGAGATTAAAATCAAGAACTTGATTGCAAAGAAAGGAGGGAAATCCATCATAGAATAATCCCATCGCGGAATTCTCCAATTTGCTAGAAGGCCTTTAGCAAGAGATGGATCATTATTAATATTTCCAAATGAAATGTAGTAAAGATAAAATCCTCCTTGAAAGGTTTGTCAAAAAAGATTGAATGTTGTACTTTATTGAGCCTAATGCTATAAGAGTATGAATTCTTGGAAAGTAGAATTTATGTTCTCTAAATCAAGTTATTGCCATCATTCCAATGGAGGAAAGGAGATGGGGTAGTTATGATTGCCAATAACTCCATGGAAGGTTCTAAAATCAAACATTTTGATTCAAAAATTTTATTTTGAGGAGCTCAAGCAACCACACCTAACAAAGATGATCAATAGAGATTATCAATGGCACACATATTGCAAAAAAGCTCAAAATACAAAAGAAAGATGTTTGAAGCTTTCTAACAAGCCGCCAAGCAAAAGCTAAATAGTATTAGCAGAGGAAGCATAACAATACAAATGTGAAATGATGTAATGCTAAAGAATCATCGATTGAGTTCCAAAAAGATGAAACAAGAAAGTTGAAAATTTTATTGGTATTACTAGAAAAGACTCCCACAATGTGTACTATTTCTCTTGTGTTCTTAGGTATTATTTCTTTTTCGCATGCTGTTAAAGTTTTGGAGATCCCCAATCTCAACTTTGGATTACTAATTTAAGAGTTACTCACCATAAAACAAATTACTCACAAATTACAAAGTACTCCAAATTTATTTCGCATAATCCTTATCCAAGCAACAAGAAAATAACTATTTGTAATAGATCCTTGACAATCATTGTTGGCCAATGAGACATTCTTATTAATAAATTCCTTACACTTCAAAATGTCATCTACATACTGTTTAAAATGGTAGTTGAGGCATAAATGCCTCGACGGGGCATAGGAAAAATGCCTTAAGGATATGCCTCTTTGGTCCACTTAAGGCTTACGCATTTGTTTTTGCTTAAACTTGAGGCTTGATGCCTCATGGCATTTGAGTCAGACACTTCAAATTAATGAGTCTATACAAAAGCTTTTTTTTAGGTTATTATTCTTATAATATACTTAATAGTTAATATAACTTATATTTCTTTTCTAGTCAAGCTTGTAGGTTTAGGATTAGGGTCAAGTGAGAGGATGGCTGTGAAGTTGAGCAAGAGAATTAAGAGAGGCTGGCTACAGAGTCAAGCGAGCAGAGCAAGAGCATAGTATGTTGTGCTAGAGAATGTGTGAGGAGGTGTTTGCATGTGTGGAGGTGTTTGTGAGTGTTGTGATCGCATGCATGGCATTCGTGCACATGCCTGTGTTGTGAATCTTTAGGGTAAGTTTTTTTTTTTCTTTTTTTAGAAAAAAATACGAATGACTTTCTTAATTTTTATTAAATCTTTGTATTTTCTTAATACAAATGATTTTGTTGTTCATGGTGATGAACTAGGTAAGTTTGTTGATGGTTTAAGGCATATTTATGAATTAGTTTAATTTATGTTTTTTAAAATTCTTTTTTGGTTCGAGCCTCACTAAGGCAAAATACCTTAGTTCTCAATTTTGCTTTTCTAAACCTTGCCTTCACATTTCTAAATTATTCATTAACTTTTTTATCTATCCAAAAATTAAGTAGTGGTTTAAGATGCAGTGTTATATTAGGAAAAGAATGCGTAAGCCTTATCAATCAATGCGTAAATGTATAACTATTGACAATGATTATTAAATGAGAAAAACTCAAAATAGTTCCCCAACTATTAGTAAATGACCAATTCAATCCCGAAGTATCACAATGCTCCAATTTGGTTCCTTGACTATTGGCAATTGATTCCAAATGGTCCTAAGACCAAAATTAAAAGATAAAGTTGACGCTAAAAGTCAATAAAGTTGAGGCCCTTTAGATAGTGCAAGGGAATGAAATTATATTTTTTATATTATTTGTGTGATGTCACTTGTATTATTACATAAAGTTATAGTTGTGTGATTTAATATATGTGAGTGAAATAAATGATATTATGAAAAAATACATCATACTCTTTAAATTAGTTTATACATATTTTGTATTAATTTATTATATCTTATATTTATACACTTCCAACTTCTTAGTAACTCCAATTAAATCAAAAAATGAATTTAACGTGGAGACCATTTTGAATTAATTTTCAATAATCGAGGGACCAATTTGTGACAGCATGGTAATTGGGATTAAATTAGCCATTTATTAATAGTCGAGGGACTATTTTGGTCTTTTTTCTTATTAATAATTATTAATATTAGAGTATTATTAATAAATAATAATTGCCATGCATTATTAATATTATGTTCTCTTTGGAAAGTATATGTATGTGATATTATATTATACTTCATACGGTGACGCTGTTAGTAGAAAATATTATAAATCGCATATTTTATAATTATAATTTATAAAATATAGCATTGTGTCTATTATGTGTTGTGTCCTACTTTTTATCGTTATGTCATTTTATTGTGGTTGTGTCATGTTTGTCTATGTCATCGGATCCTCATACTTTGTATTACCTAGCACATTTATGGCTCGGGTGTTTTGCGTCCTTTACTGATGATTGCACATGTGTGTTATAGTTTTGTCTACTAAAATCCAAAAATGATTTGAGTACCATATTTTCTTCCTTTTTCAATATGATAAAAAAATTAGTTTGATGTCAAAGTTAAGGAAGTCAAATCCGACAATGCCAAAGAATTTTTTAACCATTCTCTCTTTCTATTTTTCAAGAAAAAAGAATAATATATGAATTCTTCTTTGTATGCACATCCTAACAAAATAAGGTTGTTGAACTAGAGAACGATCATCTACTTGTGACCACAAGAGCTCTCCTTTTCTAAAAGAATATTCCAAAATAATATTGAGGGGAAGCTGCCTTTATAGATGCTCACATCATAAACTGATTACCTATAAGGGTTCTAGGTTTTTAAATCTCTACTCAAGTCTTACCCAATTTCTTTTCTCACTTCAACATCTCAAATAATCTTAGTCTCAAGATATTTGAAAGTATTTTCTTTGTCTATATACATCTTCAAAATATAGGAAAATATGATCCAAGAGCATTTAAATGTATTTTTGTTAGCTATTATTCCACTAAAAGAGGGTACAAATATTATCATCCTCCAACAAAAATATGTCTCTGCTGATGTCACTTTCAGTGAGGATTTCTAATTTGCCCCAATGAACAAATATTATTTTCCAATGAATTCTTTCTCCTAGATTGCCCTTCCTTACACCTCACCCTAAAAAATAACTCTACTTTAGAATCATCCACTTCTACACAAGTCAAGCTTATATCATAATTATTTTCTACTTTGTCATTATTGGTTTACTTGGGGAAGAAGGAATCTTAATCGACACAAGTCTAATTCCAGTTATTTGCATTGAACTCACTTAGCGAACCATTGAACCTGCAAATAATGGTACTTCAACTAAACATCCATAATGTTTTTTCTTATTGTCGAAAATTCTTTCTCATATTCACCAAGCATTTCTTATTAACCTCTATACTATTTCTATCCCTAAAATTATCTATAAAAGATTAAATAATGAGAATTTGAATAATGCTATTAGAGAATAAATGTAAGCTTTTTTAATGGATAAAATATTAGAATTGGTGACACTACCAAAAAGAAAAAAAAATAGGGCATAGGCTATAAAGTACCAATCTGATGGCTCTTTGTAAGGTATAAAGTAGACTAGAGGCAAAGGCTACACTGACATGATGAAATCTATATGGAGGTCGCACTTGGGTTTAGCTCAACACAGAAAAAGCTAACCTAAAGAAAATATTATATGATTTTAAGTAATCTCTAAGGTAAGGGTGTCAATTTCGAGTCACGGGTTGGGTTCGGGTCGAACCCGAAATTGACCCGACAGTATTCACCCGTCGGGTCAACTCTGCGAACCCGAACCCGTTTTTCAAACAGGTCAAATCTGCAAACCCGAACCCGACCCGTTTTTCAAATGGGTCAAGTCCAACCTGGATTTTCTGGGTCGGGTTTTCGTGTCATGTCAAATATTGACACCCCTACCCGAAGCCGACCTGCTCGGGTCCGGGTCAACCCGACATGACCCGAATGACCAGTTTTCGGATGAAAAAACGGGTCAAACTCTGCTTTTCGGGTCAAAAACGGGTTTTCGGGTAAAAAACGAGTCAATTTCAAGTCAAAGGGTTAACCTGAACCCGACCCGATTTTTTGAAGCGGGTCGAATTGTTGAACCCGAACCCGGTCGTGTCAAATATTGACACCCCTACAGGCCTACTCTAAGGGTATTGTTTCAAAGATTCACTAAGTTAATGTCCAACATAATATACAAATAGAGTCAAGGCAACCATTATTTATAAAATAATTGTCTTAAATGGGAGTCATTGCACTATTAGTTGATGTCGACAACATCATCCTATATGTAGTTGACTTGGAAGGTATGAAGATTTTAAAGAAAAGGCTACTCCATGAATTTGAAGTCAAAGAATTAGATAAGTTGAAGTACTTCCTTAGTGTTAAATTTGCATAGTTTTACTATTGGATCTATATACTACTATAGAAATTCATAATAAACCTTGCGAAAGAAATAGGCATGTTGGGATACAAGCTTGTTGAGAGCCTCATAAAATTTAATCATAAACTTGGGGATGCTCTAGAAGACATATCATAGAAAAAAACATCATTTTAAAGACTTGTGAAAGGCTTATCTACTTATCATATGCTAGACTTGACATTGCTTGTGTTGTTGGCGTGGTGCGTCAATTCATGCATAATCCTAAAGAATTATATCTTAGGGCTATACATTGAATTTTATAATATCTAAAAGGAACTTTATGTAAAGAAATTATGTTCAGAAGCAATGTTTAAAATTGCGTATTCGGGTATTGAGGCGTTTTTCATTCGTGAGGCGAGGCGTAAGCCTCAAGACATTTTGAGGCGTAAGCCTCAAAATCAAAAGATTGCGTAAACAGAAAATAATAAATTTTTTATATACTAATGAGTGAATAACATAAAACATAAAAAAACATAAGATATGAAGTGAAATCAAAATATCCCAATAATAAGACAACATGAAATATAGTTCAACTCAAAATTCTATATTTCCCAAATCCTAGTATGCTTTTTATTAACATATAATTCCAATTTCTAAAAATAAATAGCAATGACATATCGCATAAAAACTCATAAGTCATTAGCATTGTCATCACTAAGGGGTTCTTCATTTGAATCATCATTATGATGAACTGTTCTCTCCCCTTCCTCCTCTCCTATAGAGTCCAATGTTGGGCATTTACTTCAAGATTTATGCAAGTTTTAATATATATATAGTGTGAGGCGTAAGCATAGGCATAAGCATCGAGGCGTTTTTTACTGGAATTGCGTAAAGGCGGGCCTCAAGACGAGCCTTATATTGCGCAATTTTAAACCATGTCCAGAAGTGGAGGATCTGACACTTGAAGTTCGTACATTTTTAATGCCTTGTTAGATGGAAACAATCTCATATATAACTTAAAGTAAATAAAATTTTGAAATCGTTAAAATTTTACCAATTGTTAATATCTTTCATATCAATTTAAATAAAAATTTGAATGAAAATATTACTTTCCTTTTAATCTTTTTAGAAGTTCTTTTAAATTGATTTCTCTTCTACAAGCTTGCACACATTGAAACTATGTGCCTAATTCACCTTCAATGCCTCGTATCCTGTTTACCTACA